TATTTAATTTTTAATGATTTTATTTTATTAAATCATTTCTTTGGGGCACTTACAGCTCTTACAACAATCCATAAATCAATTGTATCCAGTACATTTGTACATAAAGATTGCCATCATCATTTCCAAAACATTTTCTTTCTACTTGAGCCCTTAGTATTAGCTCCTCTCTTTTGCCCTATCTCCCCCACCCTCCCACCTCATGAACCCTTGATAATTTATAAATTATTTTAATTTTCATATTTTACACTGTCCGCTGTCTCCCTTCACCCACGTTTCTGTTGTTCATCCCCCTAGGGGTGGGGTGGAGTTGTCTGCCGATTATTGCCATCGGTTCCCCCTTTTTCCCACTTCTCTCCCCCATCTTCCTCCTATCCTTATGGTCATATCACCACTCTCAGTGGTCCTGAAGGGTTGATCTGTCCTGGATTCTGTGTGTTTCCAGCTCTTATCTGTACCAGTGTACATGCTCTGGTCTAACCGGCTTTGTAAGGTAGAACTGGGATCATGATAGTGGGGTGAGGGGAGGAATTAAAGAATTAGAGGAATGTTGTGTGTTATACTGCACCCTGGTTGGCTCATCCCTTCCTCGTGACCCTTCTGTGAGGGAATGTCCAACTGTCTACAGATGGGCTTGGGGTCTCTATTCCGACCCCCCCTCATTTGCATCAAAATGGTTGGTTGTTTTGGATCTTCTTTTTTAAAAATTTAATTTAATATTTTATTTTTAAATAATTTTGTTAGGGGCCATACAACTCTTATCACAATACATCCATATATCAATTGTGTAAAGCACGTTTGTACATTCATTGCCCTCATCATTCTCAAAACATTTGCTCTATACATTTTGGGTCTTCTGATGCCTGATCCTATTGACACCTCAGGATCACACAGGTTGGTGTGCTTCTTCCATGTGTGCTTTGTTGCTTCCCCATTAGATGGACACTTGTTTAACTTCAAGCCTTTATGACCCCAGATGCTATATCTTATAATAGTCGGGCACCATCAGCTTTCTTCACCACATTAGCTTATGCACCCAGTTTGTCTTCAGTGATCGTGTAGGTAAGGTGAGCATCACAGAATGCCAAGTTATTAGAGCAAAGTGTTCTTGCATTGATGGAGGAGTGAATGCCCCATTGTGAGCTGATTTTTCCATATCTCAGGAAATACAGCCAATTCCATGATACATTGTTTTAAACAATGTAGAAACATAGGAACCTCAGTGATATCTTTCACACCTAAGCAGTCAACCTTACAGTAGAACCATGTTTAAGCCTATTACAATCTCATCTATGCCAGTGTTGGATGAAGGAAAAACCAGGAGATATACTGCACCCTGGTTGGCTCATCCCTTCCTCGTGACCCTTCTGTGAGGGAATGTCCAACTGTCTACAGATGGGCTTGGGATCTCTATTCTGACCCCCCCCTCATTTGCATCAAAATGGTTGGTTGTTTTGGGTCTTCTTTTTTTAAAAATTTAATGAATTTGTTGCTTTGATATGAACCTAATTTAGGACGTTTTAGGAGTAGGGTAACTGTTGGCAAATCAATTTGGTCCTATGCTCTGTGTTATGTTATTAAGCTTACTTTCAAATTAGAATATTGAATTAGTGATGTGTATTTACTATTCATAAACCCAAAGTATAAGGAGACATTTTCATGGTGGGTCTATCTCCATTGAGTAACCTTTGCTCTTTTGGTGGGAAGGCTACTTTTCTGGCCATGTTTTCTTCAACACTGTGATGGAAGAGGCTCCACATGGTGCTCACCGTTTATAGTTGTTATGTATCATCATCATCATCTTCAAAGTATTTGTGTTTTTTAATCTCAAATTCAACATACCTCAATTTAGTGTTTCCCCCCCCTAACTTCTTATTGTGGTTTGGGTAGAAATTTACATATCAGATCTTTTTTTTTCTTTCTTGTAGTCAACAATTTAAACAACTTATCAAATCTCTCAATGGCTTGCCCTGTTTGCACCCCCCCCCCCACTTTATTCCTATTTCTCCAAGCAAACACCTATATACTCTCTGGCCTACTGCTTCCCCTGCTCCTTCCATCCCTGGTAACCATTAAAAACCTTTCTTGATTTTTTTTCTAAACAGTGGTTTCATACAGTATTTATCTTTTTTTATTTGACTGACTTCACTCAGCATGTCCTCTCCCTATTTTTAAGAGGATCATTCATCTTGTTGAAGTATTATTGCAGGTTTCTATTGAATTTAGATTAGTCCTTTGACATATATATATGTCAATATATATATTGCCCAGAATTTTTCGCAGCTGGTGGGTTCTCTTTTCCCTTTTTTGATGCACGTAAGTGTCTTATTTTTAGGAGGTTCCAGTCATCTATCTTCTGCTGTTTTTCACTGTATTTGATAATGTGTTTATACCATGTGTTCAGTTTGTCCCTGTTTTTTCATTGATGGTCTTTATAGTTCTATGCTTTACATTTAGGACTTGAATACCCTTTCAGTTCATTTTGTATATGGAGTAAAGTATGATTCATGTTCCATTCTTATGCAAATGGGAATACAATTTTGCCCCTACCATTTGTTGGAAAGACGATCTCTTCCCTATTTAATGTATTTTGGTCCTTTGTCATAAATTAGTTGTTTGATTTCTTTTTGTTGTCTCATGGTGCTTACTAAAGTGTCCCATGCAATATTAAATAAAAGTGGTGATAAATGACACCTTTGGTTCCTGTTCACAAAAGCAATGCCTTCTCTTTTTCCCCTTTGAGTGAGATGTTGGCCCTTGATTTTGTGTATATGGTCTTTATTATGTTGAAACTTTTCTCTTCTACATCTTTATATTAATCTTTTGGATATCTAATATCTGTTTCTATTTTTAATATTTTTTTCATTCCTTTTGTTAGATTGTTTTAGTGTTTTCCTGAATTCCTCCATAGATTCCCTGCTCCCCCCCACTTTCTATAGCTCTCTTGATCTTGTCCCTCATTCACTGAAAGTTCCTCCACATCAGTATTCTGAATTCATTTTCTGGTTGTTCCAATACTTTATCTTCTTCAGGAAGGTCTTTTGGCTTTGTATATTGATCATTTGTGTTTTTCTGTCTCTTTGTATAGACTGTAAATGTTGTCTGGACACCGTGGGGTTTTTTGGTGTGTGTATATATGTGTGTTTATTTGTTGATGAGGTGGTTCTAGAATAGGCAGTGGTCCTTGTCCATTAGATGTAGCTGTTGGAAGTGCAGAGGTCATTGAGTTGTGTGGAGGAATAAGGAATGTTTTTTAAAAAGCTACCACAATAGAAAAAAACAAGCAAACAGGCGAGGCAACCAAAAAAACCACAAATGAAATCTCTAAGTGAAAATAAGTAAACGAAAAATTTTAAAAAGAAGGCCTGGCAGGAACTCGCTCAGCAGCAGAGTTCTCTTTTTCAGTCCCCAGTAGGGGCTCTCAAGTTTCTGCTCTGGGGGGCACCACAGGCGTGCAGCCCATGAACGTGCAGGCCCTGCTGCTAGGCCAGTTTAAAAGTAGCCCTAAGCTGTCTTGGTTGGGCCTAGGGCCCTGGCAGCCTCTGCCAACTCTACCTGTGCCGAGTAGGATTTTGCAGCTTCCGCCAAGCAGGCAAACGTAGGCTTGCTACCTGTCTATGTCCTGAAAAACAGTGGGGAACCGGGGACAGGTCAGCTCCCTCCTACTCCTGCCAGCCATGCTGCTGGAATTCAGCTCATCTAGCTTTCATTCCTTCAGGTTCAGGGCTCCAGGTTTTACTCTGTTCTGTTTGCTCATATCTTTGTTGTTTGTGTACTATGTCTAAGCCTCCACCCTTACTTGGAGTACAACATGCCTTAACTTTTAAAAAATATAGGTCTACATTAACATTGATGAACATTTTACAGCCTCTGTGTATGTACAAGTTCAGTTTTAAAAGAGGCCATCCAACTAAAGCATTTTATTTAGCACTTTGAAAATGTGGTGGAACTGGCAGCAGACACTGACTGCCTCATTATGTTTGTTGACTCTTCCCACTACAGAAAATATAACCAGAGTTATAGACCTCCAGTTCCTGAGTATATTGTTTCACACAGTGGAGAAACAAAGGAATGTAGGTAAGATCTCTTGCTAAAACAACGGATATAAGTCTAATCACAATAATTCTTCTAGGCATCTTGTATGAGCTAGACTTGGGTGAGAGACCTGGTGATACACAGGTTTAAGCATTTGGCTACTAACTGAAAGGTAAGCAGTTCAAACCCACCAGTGGCACCGAGGGAGAAAAGACCTGGTGATCGGCTCCTGCTAAGAGTACAACCTAGTAAGCTCTATGGGGTGCTTCTACTCTGGTCCCTCCCTCTCCCCACCCCCCAGGGTCATTATCAGTCCACAGTATCAGCATACAGTTGTTCTGAATCAAGTTCCACGTGTGCATGGTTGCTAGGATGTCTGGTGTTGTTGTTTTCTTTTTTATCATTATTGCAGGGATGAAGACAAGCTTCCGGATCAAACCTTTATCACCCAGCAAGTTCCAATCTTAGATACTGTGGATGAGCTGGTGCTATCCAATATTCAGAAAGAACCCCAAAAGCCTGACACGGTAGGGACTGTGACAATAAATACATATAGCTGTTATACTTTCCTGTACATCTTCTTGCCAACTTACCTTTCCTTTACTGGCCAGGAGGCTCCAAGGGAAAGTGAACTGACCAGGATGGTGTGATTTATGGAGATTTTAAATAATATCCATAATAAAGAAAGGCATATCACTGGATATACTTAATACAAGTGCTTATTTGTACCTCTTTAAGGATGAAAAGCATAGATTGCCTTTTGAAATAAGAAGCCTAGACAAAATGTACAAGATTATGGCATACACTTTTCTACTTTCAGTCATATTCATGGTTCTTTAGGGGTTTTTTTTTGTTGTTGTTCTTTAGTTTTAAGCCCTAACAACTCTTGGCTTTGGGTAGAGATGGGGAGTCAGAGTTAATAGGGGCCAAAGTCATTATAAGGAAATATGGCACCATTAAGAAACAAATCAGATTTTTTCTCTAGGAGATTTTTATTTGTAATTTTTAAATTCATAATTCACATAGCATATTATCTGAGAAATGAGATCATATCAGAGCAAAAAGGAAATGAAGTTTATAAGAAATTAAGTTTATAACCCACTAATAGCAATGTTTTAGGTGTACAGATTTTTTTTCTTCATTAGAAACAAGAAACTCTTCTGAGCAGCAAGTAGCTGGTCAAGTGAGCAAAAAGAAATATTCCAATGAGAGCGATATAATTCAAATTAATATTTTTTTAAAAGTGATTTCCCTTAGATGTAAGGAAAACGTAGGAGCCTCTATGAATATATTTAATTCCATTTGGAATTTAGACAATATGACCTACTATTCAACCCAGTCGATAGCTGTTGGACTGGATTAAGTATCACTACCAGGTGCAAGCTGTGCTGGAGCTAAAACCAATCCCCTGCTGTTGAGTCGATGCCAACTCATAGCAACGCATTGGGGCAGACTAGAAACACTCTAAAGGGTTTCCAAGTGGGTACATCTTTATGAAAGCACACTGCCACACCTTTCTGGCGGGTGGGTTTAAATCTGTGACTTTTGGTTAGCAGCAGGATGTTTTAACTACTGTGCTACCAGGGCTCCCTGGGAAAAAAACAAGGCAGTCTATTTTCAGAAGATAAATGCCTCTTGCCTCACTAGGTCTTAAGTGCATTTTATTAAAATTCAGTCACCTTTAATGATGAACAATTCTGATAAAAGTCTATAGACTGCACAAATATTTTGAAAGTTTCTCACCATCCATAACTCACTGAATAAGCCCCATGGAGTAGTTAGCACTATCCAAGTGGCTAATGAGGAAGCAGATAAACCACTGACCTATCCCATCAGGCTGAGCACCGGACAGTACTCTCTCAGAGCCAGCAGCCGCTAGTCCACCGGGTGAAAACCATATCAGAAAGTCAGGGTTCAGTGGGGATGGTAGAACAAAAAGAATCCATTCTGTCCAGCACACCAACTACTCAAATTTAAGTGCTCTTTCATTAAAAAGTATCACTAATGAGAAATGCAAGCAAGAGAAAAGAAGAACATATACAATTCTAGTAAGGCAAGCAATATCAGGCTAATCTTGCTCAAGGCAAGAGTCTTAATCCATTTTTCACAGTTACAACACCCCCTTGATTTCTGGGCCTGTAGTAACTGTTGATAGAAGTATTCTGAAAACTTTTTTTTTTCATCTTTAAAGTCTTACTTAATGGCAGAAGCATTAACTAATGATTCCAGGAACAAACTCTGAAGTTTAACCCTTGGCACACAGAACAAAAAAGTTGCTTTATCCAATGCATACTGAGGTATCCTTGAGAAGTGGTAATGTTAAGCTGCAAGAACACTGGCAATGATAGAATGAAATAGTGGTTCTGAATTACTAGGAAAACAACATGGCATTCAGCAGAGAAGGAGAGAAGTTGCCACACCTTTGGGAAAAGTAGAAATGCATTTTGCCTATTGTGGGATAAACTGGAGGCTCAGGAAAACTTGGCCGAGGGGTTTCCCCCACCAGCATTTATGTCAGGCTGTGTTTGAGAAATCAACCAAAGGCTGAATGATTTCTGTCCAATATCCCCACCCAAAAATTTCTCTTCTAATTATTAGAATTAGAAGACCCTTACATACACAAACTTTAAAGAAAGAGGAACAGTCTTTAGAAAACAGATCTTAAGCTCTCATTCCAAATAAGCATTTCATAGTTACAGTTACCTCAAAATAGAAGTAGGAAGAGTGAATAAAAAACTGGTTTTAAAGTTACACTAGATGTCTCCCTATCACAACTTTGCATTGACTAATGGTCCTGAGAAAGGTTTTAGTGATAAGGTATTTCAATCCCAGGGTACAGTTAATTATTGGGAGAAAGTTGGCAAATGAAGTTGGCAGAGAATAAAGGGAGATAACTCAGGATGGCCTGAGCCTGGACAAAACTTGTTTCTAACAGCCCATGGTAGGCATGACTACTGCGGGTGAGGAAAGAGTGGCATCTTCTTCTTTCCACTGGGAAGTGATGGTCTTCAGCTGAGTGTAGAATTGGATGCCCTAAAAGGAACAAAGTAAAAATGAGAGTATTAGTCTACACTCCTTGGGGGGCAGAGAGGGGTGTCTTCATACCTCCTCTTTTCATCGTCTTTTGAAAAGTGCTACTTGTCCATTCAAGGCACAGGTGCAACCAAAATTCAACATATTGTTCTTGAGATAATCCACATAAAAATTTTAGCATAATACTAGCACACAGTAAACAGTTACATTTTAACGATCATTATTCTGATATCTAGTTATGTTGAATTAGAACTTCTAAGCCAAGAACATTGAAAAATAAAAATTAAACCATGTAATCTGGTAAACTTGCAGGTCATTCTGTCCTTAGAGCTCAATGTCCTGCACTCTAAAGTCAATAGATGTGGTTCAAATCAAACCAGCACTCCTTATTGAGTGCAGTGTAACCTTGGGCCTCCTCTGTGACAGCATTGTTGTGAGGAGTAAGAGAGACATGCATTAAAAATGCTGCCTAAACATCTGTACAAATGTGCCTGAGACAATGGATGTATATATGGATTGTGATAAGAGTTGTACGAGCCCCCAATAAAATGATTTTAAAAATGCTGCCTATCAAATGTAGTTTTCCATTTCTTCCCATGAAAATGGAATAAAAGAATGAAACATTAGACCTTTTGAAATAAAATGGTGAATGATAATCACCTCTATTCTATAGTAAATTGGAAAAATCAAATCCTACAAATAAGTCTGAAGTAAAATGTTTGATATTATATAGTAACTTCTATATCACCTGTGACATGTGAGTCAAAGCAATCATGGATATGCTAGCACGATGAATGCTATGAGCACTCAGCTACTAATCCAAAAATCACTGGTTTGAACCCACCAGTCACTCAGAAGAGGAAACATGTGGCAGTCTGTTTCTGTACAAATGACAGCCTTGGAAATGCTATCAAGCAGTTCTACTCTGTTCTTTTGGGCTGTTATTGCCATGAGTTGGAATCAACTTGATGGCAATGGGCATACATAGGTATCTCTATGTTACATACATACTGTATTTTTGCATATAATGTACAGCATGCACAGGAAAATAATGAGGTGAGTTGTGTGGTTTGCAAAAATCCTTCTAACCGATGCTTTTTGTTGCTGTTGTTAGGTGCCATTGAGTAGGTTTCGACTCATAGTGACCCTATATACAACAGAGCAACACATTGCTCGGCCCTTCGCCATCCTCACAGTGATTCTTAGGTTTAAGCCCATTGTTGCAGTTACTGGGTCAATCCATCTTGTTGAGGGCCTTCATCTTTTTCGCTGCCTCTTTACCTACCAAGCATGATGTCCTTTCTAAGTACTGGTCTCTCCTGACAACATGCACAAAGTACTTGAAATGAAGTCTTGCCACCATTGCCTCGAAGGCTATAACTCTTTCAAGACAGGTTTTGCTTGTTCCTTTGGCAGTCCATAGTACTTTCAATAATCTTCGCCAGCACCATAAATTCAAACGCACATATTTTTCTTGGTGGTCTTTATTCAATGACCGACTTTCTTTTTCTTTTCTTTTTTCCCCCAATGATTTTTGTTTGATTGGGGGCTTATATAACTCTTATCACAATCCATACACACATTCACCATCAAGCACATTTGTATATTTCTTTTTTTTTAAAATAATTTTATTAGGGGCTTGTAAACTCTTATCACAATCCATACATACATCCATTGTGTCAAGAACATTTGTACATTTGTTGCCATCATCAGTCTCAAAACACTTGCTTTCTGCTTGAGCCCTTGGTATCAACTCAATTTTTTCCTCTTCCCTCTCTGCTACCCCCTCCCTCATGACCCCTTGATAATTTACAAATTATTATTATTTTGTCATATCTTACACTGTCTGATGTCAATGACCAACTTTCACATGCATGTGAGGCAACTGAAAATCCCACGCCTTGGGTCAGGCACACCCTGGTCTATAAATTAACTTTGTTTTCCTTTTTTGTCATTTTTTAAATATAACATTCATATATCACATAACTTCCACAGTTAAACCACTTTTAAAAGTTGTATATACATCACTAAAATCAGTTCTAATGCTCCCCTCCCCTTCCCCATTCATTGTTTTCTCCCGAGATCCTCTCACCCTCCTCACCTCTCATCTCAACCTTGTTTTACAACACTTAGATTTACTCAGTGCCAGGCATCCTTTGATCTTTTGACTGCTGCTTTCATGAACATTGACTGTGAATCCAAGCAACACAAAATCCTTGACAATTTTAAACTTATCTCTATTTATCACGTTACCTACTGCTCCAGATTGCTGAAGGATGAAATCCTTGATCTTCATCAGTAAGTGCTTCAAGTCCTCCTCACTTTCAGCAAGCTCAGTGGTGTCATCTGCACATTGCAGGTTGTGAAGCCTTCCTCCAGTCCTGATGCTGCATCCTTCCTCATGTAACCAAACTTCTCTGATTACTTACTCAGCATACAAACTGGCTAAGTATGGTGAGAGGACACAATCCTGACACACGCCTTTCTTGCTTTTAAGCCAGGCAGTATTCCCTTGTTTTGTGTGGACAACTGCCTCCTGATTCACGTACAAGTTCTGGAATTCCCATTCTCCTCAAGGCTATCCATAGTTTGTTATGGTCCACACAGTTGAATGCCTTGGCACAGTCAATAAAAAGCAAGTGCACTTTTTGGTATTCTTTGCTTTGAGCCAGGATCCGTCTGGCATCAGCAGTGATAGCCCTTGTTCCATGTCCTCTTCTGAATCTCTGCCTCAATCTCTGGCAGCTTTCTGTCAATATACTGCTGTGATTGTTGTTGGATGATCTTCAGTACAATTTTACTTGCATGTGGTATTAATGAAATTGTTCTGTAACTTGAGCATTCTGTTGGGTCACCTTTCTCTAATGTGGGTACAGAAATGCTGTCTTTCATTAGTTGGCAAAGTAACTGGACGAGTGAGTGATTCCAGTGCTTCGTCAGCTTGTTGAAACATTTCAATTGGTAGTCCATCAGTTCCTGGAGCTTTGTGTTTTGGCTTGTGCTTTTAATGCGGTTTGAACTCTTTCCTTCAACACCATTCATTCTTGCTCATATGTTACCTCCTGAAATGGGGGAAAATCAACTAGTTCTTTTTGGTACAGTGACTCTGTGTATTCTGTCCATCTTCTTTTGATACTTCCTATATCATTCAATATTTACCCACAGAATTTTTCAATATGCAACTCAAGGTTTGAATTCTTTTTTCTAGAATTATTTCAGTGTAAGATATGCCGAGTGTGTTCTTTCATTTAGGTTTTATAACTTCAGGCATTTGCACATTTCTTTATAATATTTTACTTTGTCTTCTGGAGCTGCCCTTTTCTGTCAAGCTCTTTGACTTCATCCTTCTTCCATTTGCTTTAGCTACTCTATGATTAAGAGCAAGTTTCAGAGTCTCTTCTGACATCCACTGTGATCCTTTCTTTCTTTCCTGTCAGTTTAATGGCCTTTTGCTTTCTTCATCAGGTCTTCTGTCACTGGTGTTCAATGCAGCAAATCTGTTCTTGATATGGTCTCAAAATTCAGGTGGGATAGACTCAAGGTTGTGTTTTGGCTCTTAGGCTTGTTTTAATTTTCTACAGCTTCAACCTGAACTTGTATATGAGCAATTTGCGGTCTGTTCCAGAATCAGCCCTAGGCCTGGTTTTAGCTGCTGATATTGAGCTTCTCTGTGGTTTCTTCCTACAGATAGGGTCAATTTTGTTTTTAATGTATCATCCATCTGGAGAAGTATTCACTTTGGGTGACTGCTGGTATTTTAAATACAGCATAAATATTTTTAAGATCCTTGTTTGATGAAATTGTTATACTTTTGACATAAGATATAAGATACAACTACCCTTTATATTCTATTATTTAAGAACCATTCCTTCTTGTGCTCTTTCTAGAATGCAAACTATCAATTTTATTTTCTAATGATTTGACTTCAACTGTATGAGGTCAATCCTTTCTTCCAAGAATCCTCACTTACCAGACCAATTTAAACCAAGAGGGGTATGAAAAATGGAAGGAAAAACTGTTTCATGCAACAGTTTTACTCTGCATTCTTCCCCCAAAATAGTTTCCAGTGTTAAACTAATCAATTCTACAAGAACGATAATGGGTTGATGATCCAATCAAAGTCAACCACAGGGTTGACTTCTTAACAGTCGGACTGTCATATCCACTGTGCTTACCTATAGTAGGGCAAGCCTATATTGACAACATTTGATTTATTAAGGAAGGCTTTACAATGACTATTTTCCATGGGACTCTAAAGAACTAGGGCTATTTCATTTCTTCAACAAATGTTTGGGCACTTATTTTGTGCCAAGTACTACAGGCAAGTATATAAATTATAAAAATGATCAGTATGGAGGTCTTTTTAACATGGCTTAAAGAGCCCCACATGACTTGGCCCAGCTACCTCTCTCACACCTCGTGTTGTTCTCCCCTCTCTTCCTCCCTGTGCTCCCGCCCATTTCTGCTGTGTGAGCATGCCAGGCTCTCCTATTTTAAGACATCTGCACCTGCTGAAGGCTGTAGTGTACTATTGGTCAGAAAACCATGAGATAGAGCTACTATTGTTATCATTTTATATACGAAGAAACTGGAAGTACAGAGAAGATGCATAACTCCCCCAGGTCACAAGGCTATTCACTAGCGAAGCTGTGATTTGAATCCCAATCATTTAGTTTCAGATATGCCTTGTCTTTCTTGTTCAGTGTTGTACTCATTGTACCTGGTACAAAAAAAGTGTTCACTACATTTTTTTGGTAATCGAGAAACTATTATAGGACAAACATGTGCAATAGGAGCACACGGGGACATATGCAACCCAAGCATTGAAACAGATGATTTGGGGAGGAGTCTATTCTTGACACTGAAGTCTGCCAGATGACTGGGCGCTAGACGAAACCAGGGAGGTGCACAGAAGGGTCACATGGACAGAAAAGGGCACGCCCCAAAGCTTGGACTTTTCCAGGTTCTTTCACCAAATCTGTGTTTCATTGAGTTAGTCAGGAAGAAATCGCTTTAGCAAAATCCCGTGAACTTTTCGATCTTTTCTAGGGGACCTACTGACAACATTGCTGAACTATGTATGATCTCACAGAAGCTGATAGCAGGCCTTACTCCTGAAGATGTTCAAGAAAGTTTCATAGAGAGAAAATAATTTTAAACTGAAAGTTACCTGTTTGCCATAGAAATTGGTGTCTCCTCTGAAGGACGATCGAGAGCCGGTGAATGAGAACATTGGCAAAGGCACTGGAATGGGGACGTTCACACCCACCTAAAAGCAGAATCCACGTCAAATACCAAGGAAAAGCCCAAGCTAAGGGATGCTCCATTCAGAAGCAAAAGGCATCAGAAAGGTTGATTTAATGCCCCCCTTCTACCCCCGAAACTTTTACAAGGAAGAAAAGGGGCATTGTGGGGGACGAGAAGGGTGATCTTTAAACAAGTTGCAGTGACTGATCATCGTTTCCTGTCACCCAGAGAGAGGAAACAGAAGCATCTATAAGAATCTCCCAAAATTCTGTTTACAAACCTGTCCAACATCCACCAAATGGGAATATTTCCGAGCAGTGGCTCCATTGGTGGTGAAGATGGCGGTTCCATTTCCATAAGGGTTGTCATTGACAATCTTGATGGCTTCATCCAATGTGTCTGTCTCCAGCACCACAAGAACTGGACCAAAAATTTCCTCTTTGTAACAGGTCATGTTTGGCTGCCAAGCATGATACATCCAGAAAAGAAGTCAGTCTCTAAGATTCTATGCTTATTTATTACTTGCACTTATTACTCTACCTTTTACATGGATAGTACTCATGTTGGCAATCTCTTTTCCTCTTAAACCACCTATTAAAAAAGTTCCCTGTGTTCTACTTCCAAGTGTCCAATTATACAAACAGTGCCCATTAGTTTCCTAGTCATTCCACCCCTCCCTTTCTTTCAAGCACTGTTTTTAGGACTCATGACATAACTACTGTACAACTTGTTTTTACACAAGTTGTTCCTCAATATTTTCATGAAAATTAACTTTCATACATCAATATAACACTAAACCTATCAGGAGAAACTTTCTGCTTAAAGAAGCTCTATGCTAAGTTTTCTGTAACATACACCATTCATTCTTCTTCACCCCCTTGTCTCTCAAACGAACCTGTACATTTACATTGTTATCAGGTCACAAACATTCAAAACATCTTATATTACCACAGCTAGTGAACTGGGCTTACTATTTTTCTCTCTGGCTTTGTGTTGGAAGATTCATAATTTCTACTAATACTCAACCCTTCTATTATTCAATACTATAATACATTAGTGAGGATACATGAATTTAAAAACCAAGAACACCAAAAAGCCTCTCCCAAACACCAATTTAATCATAAACTTTACCTTCTCAAGGCTTTCATATTTTTTATAAATAAAATTCTACAGCTCAATTATTATTATTTCATCATTTTCTGGTGAATAGGCCAGTAAAGTTTTAGGTAAAGAGGAGGCAATCCAATAAATATTTACTGGTTGACATATTGATGGAGACACTGAAATTGCTATATGATGGGGCTTCAAAAAGTTCATGGCAAAATACCATTATCTTCTAAATCCATTTTAATTGCAGGTCAGTCAAAACAGGGAGAGACAGTGCTAATCTAGAAAGAAGGAGCTCGGTGGTCTGAACCAGGAGAAAAATGAGGCTTTCTACCCTCGTAGATAGTTACAGCCTTGGAAATCCACAGAGGCAGTTCTACCCTGTCTGATAGGGTCACTTTACATTGGTGGTCTAAATATTAGCCTGGTAACTATAAGGTTGGTGGTTTGAACCCACCAGTCATCCATTCCTTAGAAGAAAGAGAAGGCTGTCCAGTCCTGTAAAGAGTTATCGTCTCAGAAAGTCTAAGGAGCCATTCTACTCTGCCCTTTATATGAGTTGGAATCAACTTGACAGCAGTGGGTGGGGTGAGTTTGGCACAAGAAAAACGTTTTTAATGATTTACAAACTGCATATACAGCAAGAGAAGGTGATGGTGGTGAAGAATGAGCAGGGGTTGGTACAATCATTTGAAAGTGAGGGGAAATTTACGTAACATTAAGGCGTAAATAAGAGCTGCTCCTAAGTCAGATGTCATAATCCAGGGACCGCCTATAATCAAAAGTTGATAATGAGATGATTATCTCTGTTTCTTCACCTTGACATTTGAGATGATAGTTGGTCCAACAAAGTTGCCATGTTCATAGCCTTTGACTTTAATTTTTCGTCCATCAAGAAGGATGGACGCCCCTTCCTTGGTTCCACTGTCAATCAGATTACAGACTCGCTCTTTGGCCTGGGGAGTAATCAGAGGGCCAAGATCAGCTCCAGGCTGGTCCCCTGCAAAACAACAAGGCATTAATCATAAATTATGGTTACTAACTATTAGTCTGGGTACTTTGGAGAAACAAATCCACAGCAACTCATGTATAAGAGAGAGTTTTATGCAAAGAAAATGTGCATCACGAAAACATCCCAACCCAATGCTGCCCAAGCCCACAAGTCCAACATTAACCCATACCCAACACCAGTCCACAAAGTCCTTCACCTCACAAAACAGAGGCAATAATGCCGACTGCAGGAGGAAAGCTGAGTCAGTGAATGTGTAAGCATCTCAGCACTGGCAGGGGTCTCCACACGGCTGCTCCAGCACCCAGGGCTGCATCGGGATAGATCCATGTGGCTTCTCCTTGGGGATGTCTTGTAGGAAATCCATCTTGCAAGCTGAAGCAGGGAACTGCTAAGGCAGCTGCACCCGATGCAACCATCACAAAACAAGAGACCCGAGAACTCAAAAGGCGAGGCTTCACCACCCATTTATCCCTCCGCCTTTCAACCAGCACCACATGTGATTATCGGCCAGGCTGGCACAATTAACTAACTCACTAACAAAGAGATGACTCTAAATGAAAAGTACAGTATAAAGAGAAGCAATGGGAAGGACAGACATGATTGCTTCCCTGGCTAGGAAGTGCTAAAATCAAGGGTGAAGTGTCACAGATGCAAAATCTAAAGGCACTAGGCAGATGGCTGATTACCTGCACTGACTCTCAGATTCTTGGCTCGCTCCACTAGTTCTGGCAGCCACTTCTTGGCTTCTCCCACCAGGATCGCTGTTGAAAGAGCCATGCAGCGCTGACCAGCAGCCCCAAATGCTGCTCCAACCAGCTGGTTCAGGGTATTTTCTTTGTTGGCATCTGGCATGACCACTCCATGGTTCTTGGCTCCCTAAAGAAGCACAGAGAGTACCATATATACTCGAGTATAAGCCGACGCGAATATCAGCCAAGGCACCTAATTTTACCACAAAAATTGCATTAAAAAATGTGCTGAGTAACTCAGCTTATACACCAGTATATAGGGCATATGAGTCTTCCTTAGCTCAATACAATTGAGCTATGAAATTAATTAAAGAACCTGAGATTTCAAAAGGGAACTTGAGGAAAGGGCTAGAGAATTCCTCTTCTGTTGCTTGAAGGACAGAGAGATTTATTCTCATTTTTGACACAGCTGAAGTCTTGGCAGCACTGAGTAATTGTCCAGATTACGGTTTCATTATTTTGCCAGCTGATAATGTGTTTATTTAGATCAAAACTCTATTCTCTCCCAGTCAAAAAGAGCCCCAATCACATTTAGTCTAACTGATAGGCTAGATACTGCATCTCAGAGGCAAGAAGAATGCTTCTCCTGAATTAGGGAGGAATCTGTGGCTGGCTGGAATTTCCAGTCACATGAAGAGCAATGCAAACAGAGATGCCAACACTAAAAATGCCAGAAGCTACCGGCAAAGTTAACACAGAAGACATATTTCCTGAAAAATTATTTTCAGAACATGGTTGTACATGTACAGGTGAATAAGATGTCTTATTAGAATATAACAGTTCATGGGGAGATATTCAGGATGAAATGGTAATTAAGAAACACTGGTCTTAGGGTGGGATGAGTGGCCCCTCTAGTGAAGGGTTATTTCTAGGCAATTTTAACACATATCAGAGAGATTAGAGAAAAAGAAATAAGTCACCATATTGGCTTGAACTCTCTTGCCATGTTTCGACCCTCTCTCGAAGATGTACTCTCCTGCCTGGTTGGATCCCACAAAGCTGATTGCTTTGATGTCCGGATGATCACAAATAAAATTCACGGCTTTAAGAAGAAAAGAAAAGATCACCACAAAGGAACAAATGACTACAGGCAATGGAAAATTCCCTCTCCTCACAGCCAGGGACTAGAGAAGTCCCCACGTTTTATTCTCTAACCTGGATTCTCATTTGGGGCTCTCTCCCTGTTTGCTTCTCTTAAGTTCTTCACATTGCAAATCTATCTGGCCCTTCCCCCTTGGTTTTTTCCCTTCTTTGCTAGTCTAAAAGTTTCATTATCTTTTAATTCCATTTTTTCCATAAACGTTTGAAGCCCATTTGTACATTAATTTTCAGACTATCACCCTTATTTTCCTCTAAAATGGCAGCCTTTCAGTACTCCAATCTTTTTGTCCTGTCAGAATGTGATACTTTCCTCAATTGTACTTGTATACAGGGCTCTCAGATATACAACATGAACGGCAACATATTACCATGTTTAAAAGCAAAAGCCCACACCAATCATCTTAGCTACATACAGCCTGGATTTGACAATCCCTAGCAGTGTGACTTGGAGCAAAGTACTGCAATTCATTGTGCCTCAATTTTCTCTTTTATAAAATGGAAAAATAATAGTTCTTGCATCAAGGGGTTGGAGCACAAGGAACAGTGGCTGAAACACAGGCACCCTGTTTAAGTATTAGATACTATGATATGAATTAAAAGGTCTTTAGGAGTCGTGGTGGTGTAGTGGTTATGCATTGGGCTGTGATCTGCATGAATGACAGTTTGAAATCACCAGCAGTTTCAAGGAGAGAAAGACTGGGCTTTCTACTTCTATAAAGTTACAGTCTCAGAAACCTACAGGGGGTCACTATGAGTCAGCATTGACTTAATAGCAGTGAGTTTAGTTTACCATATATACTTGTGTATAAGCCAGTTTTTCAGCACATTTTTAATGCAGTTTTTTGTAAAATTAGGTGCCTTGGCTGATATTCGGGTCGGCTTATACTGGAGCATATACAGTAGTTTTTGTTTTGTTCTTTAAGTTTCTCTTGGGTCCTGGTGGCATGGAGTGGGTTTCGTGTAGGTTGTTAACAGTAAAGCTGGCAATTTGAAACCACCAGCCACGCTGCAGGAGAAAGATGACATTTTCTTGCCCCGCATAGATCTGCAGTCTTGCAAACACACAGGGACAGTTCTATCCTATCTTAGAGGGTCCCTGGGAGTCGGAGTCAACTCCACGGCAGTAAGTTTGTTGTTTCTAAGCCTCAGATCTATACAAATTCTTAGTAATAAATAGTCTCATGAATTCTCTCAATATTTATGTGAAAACTTTTTCCTTAGTCTTATGTCTGTCCAGCCCTAATCCATATTTCTGGACTCTTAATCGATGTATAGAGTTACCTATTAATAAAACCCTGCCTCTATAGGTTTCTTCATCCTACAACGCTCTCATCCCCACCCAACACCTTGATTGTCTGGTAGCCAGATGAACAGCCACATGCAGGAAGGTAGTTACCATCATGCTGTCCATGGATGACATTCAGAGTTCCATCAGGGGCACCAGAGTCCTGGAGCAATTTAGCAAGAAGCATAGTTGCTCCGGGAACTCGCTCTGATGGTTTCATTAGGAAGGTATTTCCACACACCATAGCCATTGGAAACATCCATAGAGGGATCATGGCAGGAAAGTTGAACGGAGCAATGCCTGCACACACGCCCAGGGGCAGACGATACGAGAAAAGGTCCATGTCTTTGGTGATGGATGGCATGGTCTCTCCCAGCAAGAGGGACGTCACACTACAGGCATGCTCAACCACCTCTGGAACAGAGAATAAGAAGACAGGTCACTGGCTCTTCACACGACATGCTGCTTAGCTATGCCAGGCCCTACCTACCCCTTCAGACAGGGAATGGCTCAGGTCACTGACAGAAGATAGAAACACTGACTTGCACTTCTCGGTGAAGAGGCTGTACAAAATGCAATTCTCTAAATGGGAAAAAGACAGTGAAACGGATATACCTGCAAGCAGATCATTCAAGTTAAATAGAGAATGACACTTAAATCAATCTCACCAGTATCTGGGAAGTATTGTCATTTTTTTTCACAAGAATTAAACAGGGTTTAATAAGAAAGGACAGAAATAGCTACATTATGGAAGAAGCAATCTCTCATTTTGAGATCTTTGCCTTCCATATTGCTTTGCTCCTTCCCTAAACCACCCTCTTAAGTGATTCCCGGCTTACGAAGGCCTCGAAACACATCTCCTTCGGCATCTGCTAGGGTCTTCCCTTGTTCCAACGTGATTAACTTGGCGATTTCTTTCTGCAGGGAAAACACAGATAGAAACTAGTGTAAAGATGTGCCTCCTTTTAGTTCTCAAGTAGCCAAAGAAGAACAAAAGCTGGGGAGAAGCAGTCCTGGGAAGGGCGTAACGCACATCCTCTCTCTGTGTGTACGTCTGCATGGTAGCATCAGGGAGAGGCAACTAAAGGGGCTGCTGTGGGAGTAGCAAGTATCCCCTAAGCACCAACTGGGAACATTAGCCATTGCATTTTCTTACCAAGTTTTCTTTAATGAGCTGCTGATAGCGGAGCAGGACCTGCTGACGGCTTAACACGGAAGTGTCTGCCCATGCGGGAAAAGCACGTTTGCAAGAAGCAACGGCTGCGTCCATTTCAGCCTTGGTGGCCTGAGGAACCCGACCGATGACCTCATTGGTAGCCTGATGAAAAGCAGCAGCACAGGGTACTTGGTTCCTGCCCCACGTTTTCCATGACAGAGGCAGGACAATCTGCTTCATGAGAGGCCCGCCAGCCTCCCACTTTCCCACTGTGACCCCAGAATTCTCGGCTGGTCAGTTTAACTCCCAAAGCTATGCTTACTGGGTTGTGGATATCAATCCATTTGTCACTTTTGGAGTCCACGAATTTCCCATCGATGAAGAGTTTCACAGTTGACTGGAAAACAAGACAGAAAACTTTGCACTAGTTCACTATTTTGCTTCTCCTCTCCCCTTCACAAAGAGGACTCTTCTGCTCTTGATAGAAATGTTGCTACTAGAAAAGGAATACACAATATATTTGTCTGTAATCCCAGACCACAGATATTAGTTGATGACAACTCATAGTAGCCATAGACAGAGCATCTGAGGCTGTAAAATTTTACAAGAACAGGTAGCCTCATCTGTCTTCTACAGGGTGGATGGTGAGTTTGAACCACCAGCCTTGTGGTTAGCAGTCCAACGTTTACCCAATAATCACTCAGTGCCATCGAATCAATGTTGACTCATAGCGGACCCCCCTTCCCCACCCCTGTGGGTTTCCAAGACTGTAACTGTTTACAGGAGTAGAAAGCTCAGTCTTTCTTCCACAGAGCTGCCTGGTGGTTTTGAACAGCTGACCATGGAAGATCACAGCCCAATATATAACTACTATGCCACCAGGACGCCACCCATATTTGTCTATAGTGTATATCAAAATGAGATCAACATGGTGATGTTTCTGAGAATTGGGAATTCCCTGCTAATCACACAATGGAACTGAATTACAATCAATAAATAAGCACACTTCACTGTGATGTTTATACTGAAAGAGCGTCATACTTTGTGTTGACAATGATCAGCTCTTAAGACTTTTGAGCCCAGATAATTGTCTGTCACGTTTCCAGGGGGCAGGTATTACCTTTATGATCAAAAGACTTAAAAGAAAAGTTTCTATCTATATATGTTTTTTCTGAGTAGTTTACATCCGATAAATGGTAAAAATATTAAGAACACCATGTTACAGTGTGTACATACTTCCAAAGAGAAAGGATTTTACTCCTCAATTCTTATTTAACAGATTTTTGGCTCTGTAAAAGGCTTACAGTCAGTCTATAAAAACAACTCCAACAACACCTTTAGAAGTCATGATAATGCTTTGCACGTTTTGACACAGTAATCTTAGTTCAGAAGGGAAATATTTCAAAAGAAGAAAACAACTTCATGCAGGGTTCCTTCTTAGAAGCCACCTTTTAGTTTTAAGCCTAATAAACTCACCACTGAAGAAGAGGAGAAGGAAGAGGATGGATACCAGGTGGACTGAACCTTGGAAGAAACCTATGAGGTAAAAGAATGATTATTTTGATAAATGGGAACATAAAATTATTAAAAACTTAATGAATTGCTACTAAAGACTTAACATTATACTACTTAGGGTTGGGGCTCCCTTTTAAGGACCCTATAGTCTTGGCAAGAACGATAAACCAGAGTGCTTGTGGTTAGATGCCGTTCAGTTGGCCCCTGACTCACAGTGACGCCATCTGATAGAAAACTGTTCCAGCCTGATAACAAGGGCTCAAGGTGAAAGCAGATGTTTTGAGAATGATGATGGCAACAAATGTATAAATGTGCTTAACACAATGGATGTATGTGTGGATTGTGATAAGAGTTGTATGAGCCCCCAATAAAATGATTTAAAAAAAAGAAAAGAAAACTGTTTCAGAGTTTTCCTGGCTGACACAAATGCTTCAGCTCCTGCTACCAATGGAGAAGTTGTAGCTCCAATCTACTCAGGGATGCTTCTTTAAAAGGTGGGCCTGGCAATCTGCTGCTGAAAGGTCAGAGCCTTGAAGCCTTCTAGGTCACTAGAGCTCTGCAAACATGGGGCTGCCATTGTTGGAATCAACTTGGCAGCAACTGACAACACTAACCTTCATGGATGCAATTCATCAGGCCTTTTCTTCTGCCGAGATATTGAGTGGGTGAGCAGCCAACTATAAACCACTTGCACCAGCCACGTTCCTTAAACCACAGCAATAAAGGCCTTGATTTCTCGGGTAACCCAGGGTCGTTGAATTGATTCTAACTCATAGTGACCCTAGAGGACAGAGAAGAACTGCCTAGAGTTGTGGGGACTGTAAACCTTTTACAGGAGCGGCCGGCCTCATTTTCCTTCCAGAGTGGCAGGGAGGTTCAAACTGTTGGTCTTGCTGTTAGCCTAACGTATAGTCCAGTACATCATCAGGACTCCTTAATTTCTTTAAAAAAAAATCATTTTACTGGAGGCTCATACAGCTCTTATCACCATCCATCCATGTGTCAAGCACATTTTGACATTTGTTGTGATCATCATTTTCAAAGAATTTTCTACTGATCCCTTGGTATCGGCTCCTCATTTTTCTCCCTCCCTCATGAACCCTTGATACTTATAAATTAATAATTTTTCATGTCTTACACTGACCAATGTCTACCTTCACCCACTTTTCCGTCCCCCTGGGAGGGGGTTATAGGTAGATAATTGTGATAGGTTCCCCCTCTCTTCTCCCACCTACCCTTTCCCCTCCTGGTATTGCTACTCTCATTATTGGTCCTGAGGGGTTTATCTGTCCTGGATTCCCTGAATTTCAAGCTCTGATCTGTACCCGTGTACATACTCTGGTCTAGCCAGATTTGTAAAGTAGAATTGGGGTCATGGTAGTTGGGAGGAAGCCTTAAAGAACTAGAGGAAAGTTGTATGTTTCATTGGTGCTATACTGCACCCTGATTGGCTCATCTCTTCCTTGTGACCCTTCTGTAAGGGGATGTCCAATTGTCTACAGATGGGCTTTGGGTCTCCACTCTGCACTCCCCCTCATTCACATTGATATGATTTTTTGTTCTGGATCTTTGATGCCTGATGCCATATACACTTCATGGTCACACACACAGGCTGGTGTACTTCTTCTGTGTGGACTTTGTTGCTTCCGAGCTAGATGGCTGCTTGTTTAACTTCAAGTCTTTAAGATCCAAGACGCTATATCTTTTGGTAGCTGGGCACCATCAGCTTTCTTGACCATATTTGCTTATGCAATCATTTTGTCTTCAGCGATTGTGTCGGGAAGGTGAGCATCATGGACTGCCAGGTTATTAAAACAATGTGTTCTTTTATTGAAGGAGGACTCCTTCATTTCTCACATAGTCTTGATTTAAACATTTAACTATGAAAACATTTAACATGGTATCAAACAATAGGTTTGAATACAAAGCAAATGAAAAAGTATTGCTACAAAATAATCTAAACTTCATTAAACTAAAATACCAAAACATGAAGCTATTGTTTCTCAACATATCCTCCATCTAGGTCTAAACATGTCTGAAGGCAGTGAGTCCAACTTTCTAATCCTTCCCCAAAGAATTCTGTACTCTTTGATGTGTACCACATCAAAAGGGCAGTTTGGGCATCCTTGAAGGATTCAAATGATGTTTCTTTTAAGTGATCTTTGAATTTTGGGAACAAAAGGAAGTCTAAAAGGGCAAGATCACGGTTGTAGGGTGGGTGGGATTAAGGGTTCCAACAAAATTCTCTAGGATAGCCCTTGTTACTCTCTCTCAAAGAAGGAGCAAGTGCATTGTCATGATGAAAAAATAATCTCCTTGAAAAGTCATGGCAAGTAGAGTATTTAATTCCTAACATGGCTATTTTGGTTACTGTTACTTGTAATGGATGTAAGGAATGATATGCTACAGCTGAGAAGAGAATAGCTGCTTCTGGAGTGGCCTGGGGACAAAGCCTGGTTGATTAATAAGAGGTCAGTACCTTCTGGAACCATCCTGCCAGTCTCCAGGTCATAAGTACACAAATAAAGCACGGGGGTGAAGATCATTAAATTTAGGTATTATTTAAATGCACACACTCATCACCACAATCAATTTTAGAACATTTTCTTTTTTTTTTTTCATTTTCTTCATTCTTATACACATCATTAGGTCTCTATTTCCCCTCTGCCCCTGCCATAACTCAAACTTTTAATCTAGTTACTATCTCTATAGATTTACCTATCCTGGATTTCATAGAAAGAAAATCATACCAAACAAAGAAAATTCCAACAACAACAAAATACATCACAGAAAAACCTCAATCCAAAAGAAAACAAAATAATACAAAACTAGAACAAACTAAAAATAGGTTGAAAGGGAAAACATGATAAGATACAGCATTTTAACCTAATTAGACCTGTCATAGGAGACCTGGTGGCATCCTGCTGGTCTGCCAAGCACAAGATCAGTAGCTCAAACCCACCAGCTGCACTGAGAGTGAAAAAGGAGGCTACTCACTCCCTCAAAGATTCAGTCTGAGAAACCCACAGACAGTTCAACTCCACCCTACAGGGTCTCTAGTCAGACCAACTCGATGTCTCGATTACTGGAAAGTAATCTGTCTGAGGATAAGACAAGTCACATCCCTGAGTCAATAGTCCGAGGGAATTCAATGGAGGCTTAATTCACATGGGGACTCTGCAAATAGGTTTTGGCTTTCACTGTCTTCCATCGCCTCCTGTAAGCCAGGTGCTCTGAATTTAAGAAGCAATGCTTTTTGACCTACCCTCATATATGGTAACCTATAAGCAAGTGTTAATCTAGAGTACAATATGCCCATATAGTCCTTGAATCTGGTTTTTCATATTATTTGTAATAGGCCAAAACTTGGAAACAAACCAAATGCCCCCCACTGAAAGAGTGAATGGGGAAATGATTTGTGGTCTATCCATGTACTGAAATACTACTCAGCAGTAAACGATACATGTAACCACACAGATGAATCCTAGAATTATTATCCCAAGTCAAAGAAGCCCAACACAGAAGCAGCACATATGAGGTGTTTTCAAAAAATTTTTGGAAAAATTTCATTATCGTGCTATTCCATTTTTCCACAAATGTTCTCAAGCCTCCTTGTACTTTTTTATTCCATCTCCATAAAACTAGAAAATGCAGCCTACTTGATAGTGTCAGAAAGTGAGTCAGTGATTGCCTGGAGATAGTAGAGAAGGGGAGGAAGGGTGGGAGTGAAGGATATGTTCATCAACTTGATTGTGATCTTTTCAAGGATATATTAAAGTTTATTGGATTGTACGTCTTAAATTCATGTACAATTCATTTTATGCCAACTGTATTTTAATAAAGCTGTTAAAATGGTACATATACCTTAAAGGACAGTATATCCTGTAAGTAATATTTGATAAGGTATATCCTACAGGTAATACTTGATGGGTTATGAATGGTAAATGGCATGGAAAGTCAGTTATGGTAAGGTAACTTCTTTATTATTAAAGACTTTTATTGGGAGCTCTTACATCTCTTACCACAATCCATACATTCATGCATTGTGTCAAGCACATTTGTACATCTGTTGCCATCATTTTCTTTTTCTTTTTTTTTGTTGCCATCATTTTCAAAGCATTTTCTTTCTATTTGAGCCTTGGTATGAGTTGCTCATTTTCCCTCCTCCCCTCTTCCCTCCCTCATGAACCCTTGATAAATTATGGATTATTATTTTCATATCTTACATCAACCTCTGTCACCCTTCACCCACTTTTCTGTTTTTCGTCCCCCTGGGAGGGGGTTATATGTTGATCCTTGTGGATCCCTTTCTCACCCCACCTTCCCCTTATCCTCCTGGTATCTCTATTCTCATTGTTGGCCCTGAGGGGTTTGTCTATCCTGGATTCCCTGTGTTGTGGGCTTTTATCTGTAGCAGTGTGCATGTTCTGGTCTAATTTGATTTGTAAGGTAGAACTGAGGTCATGATAGTTAGGGGGAGGAAGCATTAAAGAACTAGAGCAAAGTTGTGTGTTTCATTGGTACTATACTGCACCCTGACTGGGTCATCTCTTCCTTGTGACCCTTCTGTGAGGGATGTCCAATTATCTACAGATGGGCTTTGAGTCTCCACTACTCATCCATCTCCCTCCCACCCCCATTTACATTGGTATGATTTTGTGCTGGGTCTTAGATGCCTGATAACTTATCCCATTGACACCTCATGATCACAGACTGGTGTGCTTCTTCCAAAGTGGGCTTTGTTGTTGCTCAGCTAGATGGTCGCTTGTTTATCTTCAAGTCTTTAAGACCCCAGATGCTATATTTTTTGATAGCCGGGCACCATCAGCTTTCTTCACATTTGCTTATTCACCCATTTTGTCTTCAGCGATTGTGTCTGGAAGGTGAGCATCACAGAATGCCAAATTATTAGAACATAGTGTTCTTGTGTTGAAGGAGTAGATAAGGTAACTTTTAAATATAGCTTTGTAACACTAAAATGTTACACTATGTAACACTAAATGTAACATTGAAAATATAGT